AATTCGTGTTTTTTTGTGGCATACTGTAAATAGAATAAGTAACGGTTAAAAGACATCCAAAGTATTTTTTTTAGTTAAAAAATTTCACTGGGAAACGATCAGGGCGTTTTGTTCATTAGAACCCGCTCCCTCTAGCTAGAAGTCGTTTCGGTAGGCAGCGGCTTGGCTCCGCCTCTGACATTGCTGAAGTCCATGGGCGACGGTAACCACTCACCATCAGATGGGTCGTATGATCGTCTGCCTACAAAGGCAATAAAAAAAAAGTAGCACGCATGGTAGCGCTGGACCAGTACGCTGGCAAGCCCACTGAGTTTCTCGCCGGATCATCTCAGTGGGTCGCGTTTCCGATCCGGTGGTAGATTCTGCGAAGCACGGCTCTTGCTAGGATTCGTGTTAGCAACGTCGTCAGGCTTGAGCCCGGTGAGCTCACCTACTAGTTAAGGTTATGCTGAAATATCCTCTCAAGGCTCTCAGCTTAGGTAGGAAAAAAAAACCCTGGCATTGACCAATGTTTTGGACGTAGTACAGCGCAGCGCTGTGGTATTTGTTAATAAAATGCAGGCCACTCTCGCTTAATTACAAAAATATTATTATTATTAGATGTAGTTAAGCTTTCGTCAAACAGAACGCGTAATTAGCGCGCGTCAGAGCGCTAAACTGACGCCGCACTATGACGCCGAGATGTGTTGTACTACTATGGTAACATACCGTCAAACAGAGCCCCAGCGCTATAAGTACGCATTGCTCTGTCGCGGCGTTAGGACGCTTTGATGTCAGGCGTTGTAATTTTTTACAAATTTTATTTTAGCGTCCGAGTGAATGTGTATTAAAATACTAGATAATGCCCGAAAAAATGATATAAATAGTTAGAAAATACCCATGCTTATATACAATGCCACATCTGAATCACTCGATTTCTTAATACTTTTAAATTTTCACACTGCTATCGAAAGGCACTATGATTTGGCGAATGCGTTGCGTCAAGGAGCGTTAGACTCATCTGGTTAATTTGAAGAGCGCGACGTTAAGTACGCGTTCTGTTTGACGAAGGCTTTAGATGATTCGATACGGTACATCTCATAAATTAAATTGTTTCGTAATGTAACATTTTTGCACACTTACAGAGTATGCTGTATAATTGAATGTAATAATAGTCCTTTGAAAATGAAATGCAATCGTGACCTATTTATAGTGTGACTTGTAAAACATTTCGTAAATAATAATTCTCGATCCGTGCATGCTGTCTTTGTTTTAGAGGTCTCTTATGAATCACTTTACCAAAGAATACTGATGATGATGATGATTCATCCGACCGATTTCGGCCATGGCGACCACTTTGACTCCTATCCGTCGATTTGGCGCTCGTGCGCTCGAAGATGGCTTATATAGCCTATCTTCGCGTCAAAACTCCTTGCTAGAGTAAAAAGAATACTACTGCATAAAGAACGCAGCTTCCGCCAAATACCTATCCTCATGTATCCACCAGTCCTTCACTTCGTGACAGTTCGTGATTTAACATCACTATTATTTATCGTTTTTCGTCTTTTTTACTGGTGCTAGGACGTCTTGTGAGTCCGCGCGGGTAGGTACCACAACCTTGCCTATTTCTGCCGTGAAGCAGTAATGCGTTTCGGTTCGAAGGGTGGGGTAGCAGTTGTACTTTAAAAACTGAGTCATTAGAGCTCATATCTCAAGGTGGGTGGCGGCAGTTACATTGTAGATGTCTATGGGCTCCGGTAACCACTTAATACCAGGTGGGCCGTGAGCTCGTCCAGCCAGAAATAAAAAAAAATTGCCACGCGATAACATTAAGACATTATATATGCATATATTTTGTTTTTATTTTAAACGAATGTTGAGGGTTTTGGTATTCTGAGCGCGTATCTTGATTGTAAGGTCTTACGATTATCGTCGGCATTGTTATGAGCTCACACCGTCGTGTGAATAGTTGACAGTCAAAAATCTTACGGAGTGCTTTCACCAAACACGAAAGCAAACGTTTGAATTGAGTCCCTGTTGTACAAAGCCTTAAAGCTTAAATTGTTTTGTTGTAAAACTGCACACATGAAGTCAGCTCTCCGTTTCGTATTGTCAAGCGAAGACAGCGCTCCGTGACGGCCTTGCATCATTGTCGAGGGCCCGTTCTCTGACCCAGAACTGTTTGGTGTGGCTCGTTTGACTCGCACGAATTGTAGTTTCCACAATCACCTAATGCGATCTTCTTTTAACTCGCCTCAATCGCCTAGTGATGGACTTACTGCAACGGGTTTTATTTATTTATTGCCTTTGCTGGCAAGCGAGCATACGGCCCACCTGGTGGTAAGCGTAACCGTCGCTCATGGACGTCAGCAATGCCAGGGGCAGAGCCAAGCCACTTCCTACCATTAGCCGCTGCCTACCATTTTGATTTTTTTTTGATTCTTTTGTTTTGATTCTTGACTGAATTTTGGGCTTAGACTTTAGAAATTACTAATGTAAACTGTTATCACGAGATAAGTCACCGGACGTCTTAGCGATTAGATCACGGACGCTTATAAATTGTAGGTAAAAGGAATTTTCTTTCAAACGGCATTCGCGTTCCACAGCAGGTCGCTCGTTTCCCGGATAGAGCTAATTATCCGACTATGTACGTCCTTACTTAGGCTTACTGCTAGACTAACTGTAACCGCTGTTACATTTCCAGAAGATTCTTAACGGTTATTTGCCAAGAGGTATTAATTGGTGGCCTCCGCCTCTTTATTTGAACAAACAAAGTGATACGGCATGGTCATACAAGTCCCGGTGACCACTTAATACTTGGTGGGTTTGTTTATCAATCCAAAAAAAAACTGTGTTATTGAATTAAACAGGGTCCAATCAGGAGAGAGAGTAATTGGTTGGCTGAATCTAATTTGATGACGTTACGTAGTGACATATATAAAATTCCAGCCATTGCCTATACTATACATTAAATAATAAAAGTTGATTGTCAATATAATCTAGGTTTGTCACTAAGTTTGGAACTAAACGATTACGAGCGACACGACCGGCCTTCCACCTGTACTTTGGTTATCGTCCGAACCCATTGGCATATCGTCTTCTCGCATTAAAACTGTATTATCTCAAAACTTACTAATTTTACAGGAGAGTATTTTAAAGGTTTAACATGTGATATTTTTAATATTAATCATCTTTGCAACATTTATTTTTTATTTTTTACCAGTTACATTATCTGTCTTTTAAAGTAAGATATAATTGTGTATGAATTTTGTTAATAGTAGTCAAAGCATAGGTATACTAAAAATTAAAACTTAACTACGCTATTTTGACAGTATTTATGAGAAAAATACTGGTGATACCAAATGATTCCGCATATTAACTCAATTTCGAATATTTTTGCTTTGCACTTTTAATGCGAAAAAACGATATATTCAGCTTGTGCTCTAACTAAAACTAATTGCCTTAATGTGTCTTCCAATAGCAAGGGGGCTTGACATTGTTTTTAATTTATTGCATAGATCACGTCAATTCCTGATGTTAAGTGATTATCGAAGCCCTAAACAAATGAAGTTGAAATCTTGAATTGTTTTGCATAACGACTGCTCCTGTCTTTAATGTATACATATTTATGTTTTTGTTTTATTAATTAGGGCAGTATTTTATTGTTTCCCTAACTAACGAATAGAGCTTAAGAGGCTATGCCAGCTACGCTCAGACGGGTAGGTGAGCTCACGGGCTCAATTTGAGAGAATTTACTAACGCCTAGCCCTAGCAAGAGCAGTGCTTTAAAGAATCTACCATCGGATCGCAATCGCAACCCACTGACAAGATCCGACTAGACACTAATTGGGCTGTGGATAGTTTTATTGTAGTTTTAGCTTCAAGAATGGTGGTAATTATGCTCCACTAGTTTCAGTGTGTTATGGTTCCACGTTTCCCTGTACGAGTTTCCTCTGTCTCTTATCGCGGTTTATTACTGTACGTAACAAGTCTTCCTGCGATAACTTCAATGTCAAACATGTTTTAATTGGATTTAAATTAATTTGTAAATTACTTCTTTATCGAATGTGTCATGAGTTGATATGGACACATTCTCGCGTTGTTATTGTTGGGTTTTTTTTAAAATCCGAACTACAATTTTTATTCCTCGATTAAATAGCGGCGGAGTCTATATTTTCCAATTGATAAGCAGAGAAGGTCTATAGCTCTAGATCCTCCGACCTCAATGTTCGAATCGGAATAAATTATTGCAGTCATTTTACAGATATTATTATTCTTAAATGGTATAGTAGTTGCTCATTATTTTATTAAAGCATTTGACCTAATTACATTGTCACACTGATGATGCAATTAGTCAAATTTGCACCATTAGCGCTGACGTAATGAGTAAATTACGACAAAATTAGTTTTTTGCTATGTGGCTTAGTGGTATCGTGCCTGCAACTCAATGAAGAGGATGCAAATACAAATATATTAACATTGCCAATAATAAGCTTACTCGTTTTCTGGCATAAGTTAGTAAAACAATATTTTTTTATATTTTCGGTCAGAAATAATATTTAGATAGTTATTGTTATGACGTTTTAATTTCACATGTAATCTATACTAATTATAAATCTACAGTGGTTTTTACGGATGTTGCGTTATAACTACTGAACCATGCATCCGATTGACTTGAAACTTGGTGTCCATGTAGAAAAGACATGTACTTAATGGATAGGCTAATATTTATATGTGTGTTGGACTCCCTACACCAGTTGCGGGGGCGTTAATGATGAGACTCTTTGTGGGGGTGAGAAATAATAATGTTCATTTTAAATGCCCAGCGAAGCGGACGGGTACAGCTAGTTTATAATAAATTAGGAAATAAAAGTACATATATTTCGATGAGTTCTACCCGGTCATTATTAATTCAAATAGCATCCTAGTCACAACACAGTTGTCATTCAATCACTGCGCGCTATCATTCGTACATGTGTGACGTTTGTGACGTGAACGAAGCATGCAGTCAGTCACAAGAACACCACTGACATTAGTCGGTCTCACCACATCGAACCAAACGCGCGTGTGTAACGGCCACTTTTAATTTATTCAGAAACATATAATCACAACAAAATTAATCTGGGAGGTTCTGTGATAATTCGCAGAGAGCAAAGGAAGGTGAATGTGAAATTGTGTTCGTTAAAAAACTTGAAAAAGAATCATTAAAAGTTTCACAAAGTGAAAAACGATAAGATAAAGTAAAGAATACAATAAATTGTTATCGAGTTCCAGTGAGGGTGCAGTCCGTGCAGTGTTTTAGTGCAAAAATTGCGACCTTCCTTTCTAATTGAGCATTTTGTAACATGTCGCAATCTTCGAAACTCTACTTGAATTTATTCAGTTTCGCTAACATTTCGTAGCGTTTTGTAAACATTGTGTTATTTGACGTCGCGACAATAAACGCTTGGATGATGGGACGCCGATCTGAGATGGCCACCCCCGATAACAGCGACGAAGAAAGCGGAGACGCTTTCACCGATGGGGACTTCGAGGACTCCGGCGACGAAACCGTTGTCGAAAATAACAAATCTCATATACCTGTTAATGACACTGTCAATGAAGAAGTCAAGAATGGTCAATATGTAGAAGAGAATACTCCAAAAGTTAACGGTCACAATAGTCAGATAACGCCCTTAGAAGGTCCAGTCTTAACAGATGTGCGCCGAGATTCCTACGCAGAACAAACACCTTCGATTGTTGGCATCCTAGGAGATCAACATAATCATGTACGTATTTAAAACCTTTAAAATATTTGAGCCTTGAATCATTCCGGATTTTTCGATAGAATTGTTTATTTGAAAATTATTGATTCACACATTAGTCATCAGTGAAGGTATGCATGCACCTGTGATTTATCTCTTAATGTTTATCCCTTTATTGTGTGTCTCAATATTCGATAAATGTTTAGTTGTATCGATTGCACTCAGTTTCTCCAGGAATATTTTAGTATAGTATACTTTATTACTAAGTAAAACCAAAAAAATATCTTGAGAGTATAGAAACTAATAAGCATAATTATCGATTTCTTCAATTAAAATATTTATTAGCTAAAACAAAAATGACGGGCGGTAGGTAATGGTATGCAAGGTCCTATCTGATTTTCTAATCAGTAATTCTTTACTTCTATTAAATGTATTCTAATTATATGGAAAAAATCTAGCTGTCGTCTTGGCATGGCTTAATCTGAACCAAGGCGTATTTAGTTCAATACATAATGATTTTAGTTAATAAACTAAACAAGGTCGATATTATCTTATCTCTTTTAAAATATGATGTTTTCTGTTAAACTTCAGAGGCCGCACACTACTTTGTGTGTTGTGTCAGGTGTTTTCCGAATTAGTTACGTTTGACTACTTTAATGTTTTCCTGCACATTTTTCTTGAACCAAGTTGTTATTTTGCCATCGACTCTGATAGGTGTCGTTTCGTATAGTCGTGACGGTCTTGTTAGTACGGATCTTTGTAAATTATACCTTGAACTAAGACTCCCAGTGTGCAAAATCAAGTGTAGATCGATTTGTGTGTGTGTGTTTTGCGACCTATAAAATGCCATTAGTCGAGAATTTGTTTGGTTTGACTGCCCGTTTCGTTGTCTTATACGTGAGTTAAATTTCAAGATAATTTCAATCGACTCTTATTTAGTTTAAGTATGTTTGTGTGTGTGTGGATGTGTCACGATGAAGAGCAATATCCCGGAAAGAAACATAAGTTTAAATCATTGGTAGTTTAAAATGTGCTCTGAATAGAACTCAAACCTTTCCAATTTCCAAAGGGTAGGGATGGATTTTTTTTATGAATATTAAAATTTTCGCTCCTTGTTTTGAACTCCAACAATGTTATAAGCTACACAATAGTCAGAGTAAGTTGAGCCTTACATTGAATCAGATGTATCTATTGTTTGGAATCTGTGGTGACGTCACGGTCGTTACTTGAGGAAATGTCAATGGAGCTGCTACTGCGCTTAGGCGGTCGAATATTAGGCTTATACGTGAGTATTGTGCGGTATATAATATTAAATTATAGTTAAATGAATAATTTATAGTGTCCGCCTTGATGGTTATAGTGATTAGCGACCCTATCTATAAAGCCCGTGTTCGATCTTTCTATAACTTAAGATCTAGGGGAGATTTTGGTTTTCTATAGGTATGTTTTGTATCGAATGTTTGATGGGAACGCTCTGAGGAGTTAATGATCCCATCGCCTACTACTTTGAAACGTTGAGATCATCCACAGCTCATCTCGAGAGATAATTTTTTCCACGTACCATCCGACTCTGGAATGAGCTTCCTTCCACAGTATTTCCTTATGGCTATTCACAAACGAGACTTGGAAACAATGCTAAGCGGCATTGGCTCACTTATCCCACAGCTAGCATTGCTAATATCAATGAGCATCAGTGATTAATCACGATCTTTGGGTGTGCCCTATGCTCGTCTGCCTATTAAGGTAACAAATTAAAAAATAGATAATCGTGTATTTAAATTAAAAATATTTCTTTTTTTTTCTTTTCAAATGCCTTTTTTTTTAACAAAGCTCTATAATAAGTATTTATTTAATGATTAAAAGTTGTTCTATATGTTTCTTTATTACCATTAGCTCTTTATAAATCGTTTTTCGATTAGATTCTACTTTGATAAAAGTTGATAGCTTTTGTTGAATTTCGCAAAGATACCGATAAATGTACTTGTCGTTATAAAAAGCATTATTATCCGACAATGAGCGTACATTTATATTAAACACTAATCAAGTCTTGTAATACAGCAATAGCACATTGAACCAGCAAAATTGTTTGAAATGTTCTGTCATCTCCCTGGACGGGTGGTATAGAAATTATCTGTGACATGAGTGTTTTTTTTTATTGCCTTGTAGGCAGACGAGCATACGGCCCATGGTGAGTGGTTACCCTCGCCCATGGACTTCAGTAATGCCAGGGGCAGAGCCAAACCGCTGCCTACCGCTAAAATTCTAGATATCTCATAAACCATATACAAGAGTAGTATTTCGTTCAATTTTCGCCACTCGTAGATATAATAAATACTACCGCTGACCACGGGCAACTCTGTCAAGTGTCCGAAACTTCGGGAATAATGTAATGTTAATTAAAGAGCGAGGTTAAGACGTAAATTTAGATTTAGTAATAATGACAAAAGTGTCTTTCAGAACGACTAGCAGACAGGTTCAACATTCAAATAATATTTCACCCTTCAAACTGGAGCAGATTGCTTCGTGGCTGGAATAGGCAGAACGTATCAAGCCGTCACAATAGATCTTGATGGAGATTAAAAGCCAATACATAATTTTCTGACTTTTGTAACACAGGTTTTCCTAGAATAAAAGTCAGGGAATATTGTTATTGTATACCTCATAAAAAAGCCATGTATATTATTATACTAGTGTTAAGAATTCTTGTACGTGTTTGTTTTTAAGAGGCTTGAATAAAATATTATTATTATAAAGGCACCATAAGTCCTTAGCGAACTGCTTCGCCGTAAAATTTGATAAATGTCCCTAAATACGATCTCGAATGTTTTAAGTAATTATAATCGTGCAAAATTTGTCCCGTAGGTACATACACACACAGGCTTGCAGAATGATGAGATCATCGCCCGTTTGTTGTGTGTTTTGTATTTAACATGTGTCTCTTAAAAATCGAATGTCGATCGTTACAAGGTGCTTACTGCTATGGGCGATATGTTGAATGGAGTCCGTATAGAACAGCGAAATATAGGCATTTGATAATTTTAATATAGCAATTCCAATGTAACATGAGAAAATGTACGTGAAAAATAATAATTATTGCGATTTAAATAAAATAATAGGACGTGTTACTACAGTGTTTAAAGCATACGGCACCCGAATCGGATCATGCGGCTAAATCGACGTTAAAATTACGGCAGTTGTTTCTCAAACTAATTACTTACATAATACGTTCACGAATGATTTCCATAATAAAGTCGTATAAAAATAAAATTGCAATGCAATGCAACAAATTTATGAAAAAATATATTTTGAAATGCTCACGACAGGGGGTATTGTGTATCTGCGGGTAATATCTGCGGTAATGCGAAGCAGTAACACGCTGTGGTTTTAAAAGTGGATTTTTTTTTATATAAATTAGTGGTGACATCATATTATGAGGGGCCGGAGGGCAATCACTAGAAGCCAAACTAGCTGCTAGCTGGGGGGCTGCTGGTGGCGCTTTTTAATATTAAAAAAGACCTATCTTTATTTGAAACTCATCTGTTTTTAAGCTTCCCTATTAAAATAAACAAACATTTAAAAAAAATGTGTGCCAGGGACTACGCGTTCTGTTGCACAAAGCAGATTATAATGTGTCATTTTCTTTATCCATAACTCGATAACTTATCGCCACAAGCTATGTACGTGCGTACCACTAGTTGATATAAAATAATGTAAAGAACGCAATGTTTACATTTCAACTTGAAAAAAATGTACTTTTTTCTCTTACTTATTCACTGGTTTGCCTAAGGGGCTTACTCCAAGCTACGCCCGGACGAGTGGACGAACTCAAGGGCTCAACCTAAGAGAATTTCTTAACACTAGGCCTAGCAAGAAGCAGTGCTTTTCACTACCAATCGACTACCAGTCTACCACCGGATCGTGACCCACTTACAAGATCCTGCGATTAACTCAGTGAGCTGTGTCTATGGCGAAAATTAACCGTGTTTGAGTCAATGTTTTGAGTCTAGAATAACAAAGATTTCCATAGCCAAAGACTTGAGTATAAGTATGTGTGTAAATAAAAACATTTGACTGCCAGTCATTAACTTGACCGGATTGTTAATTCGAAAATAATGAACCGCCGCGCCGTTCGAAATAGAGATCTGTCATTTCATCCATATTGTTGAAATAAAACTGTCATAATTAAAACTGGTTTTACGGTTTAATCCCCAACATTTTACAGTTTTTGGGGTCACGTAAGACGACCGTCAAACGTAAAACCCAAGATTAAATCTTAAAAAGTAATTTTAATTATTATATTTATTACGATTTCTATTACGAGTCCTACCAGCAGTAAACCTGTTGGTACCTGTCGACCCTGAGCCCTTTTTAACTTGTCCCCTATACAAGAGTGAGTCCGCACACCCGTGCCACCGTCCTGCCTATTTCTGCCATGAACCAGTAATGCGTTTTGGTTTGAAGGGTGGGGCAGCCGCTGTAACTATACTTGAGACCTTAGAACTGATATCTCAAGGTGGGTGGCGCATTTACGTCGTAGATGCAATAAAAAAAAAAAAAAAAGACAAGATGGTGGTTCTTACCTCTACGGCCTCTACCGTCCATGCGGAAGCCTAAAAAACTACTAAGAAACTGCCAATTCCAGATCCGAGAATAAAACTGTTCGTTGGGCTATCTACAAAATTTCGACACATGAGGCGTGATTGCTTTATCTCACACAAATTAGGACGCTTGTGTTTACAGTCAATGTCAATCGACATACCTTCGGGTAATAACGTGTTTATTTAATTCGGATTCTGATAAATCGTGTAACCATGTTGGATAAGGTCGGGAATTTGTATACAAGAGTATAAAATTGGAACGATATACCTGTAATGAACAAATAAAATAGGTGAGAGAAAGTTTGTCGAGTGTAGTCTGTGTGCGGTTGTTGGTTTAATATAATGTTTCAGTCTTCTCGGCATAAGGCAGCGGTTTAAAATTTTGTGGTATATATGGGCTTTAGGTGGACTGTGAACCCTATATGT